CCTCAAACTTTATCTCATACATATACAAAAATTAATGTGAAATGGATCATAGGCTTAATGTAAGAGCTAAAACTTAAAACTTCTGGAAGAAAACATAGGAGATTAACTTAGTGGCTTTGGGTATCACAAAGATTTCTTAAATACAAAGAACACCAAGTATTTTTAAGAAATCAATACATTGGACTTTATCAAAATTTTAAACTTTTTCTCTTCAAAAAACATGATTATGAACACGAAAAGGCAACCCACAGACGAGGACAAAATATTTGATACTCATGGAAGAATTTGTATCTAGACTACATAAAGAACTCTTACAACTCAAAATAAGGAGACAAAAAACCTGATTTTTTAAATGGGCAAATTTTTTTAATACTTCACCAAACTCTGAGACATTTAACCAAAGAAGAATATACAGATGAACAAAGAAACAAATTAAAAGATTTTCAACATCATTAGTCATTAGTGAAATGTAAATTAAAGCCACAATGAGATACTACTATATACCTACCCACTAGAATGACCAAAATTAAAAAGAATGGCCATACCAAATGTGAGGATGCAGAAAAACTGCAACCATCCTGTGTTGCTGGTGGGAATGCAAAATGATACAACCACTTTGGAAAAAAAGTTGGTTTGGCAGTTTCTTAAAAAGTTGGACATATATACTATATGACCCAGCCATTCCATTCCTAGGTATTTACCCAAGACAAATCAAACGTATGTCCATACAAGGACTCATCCAGAAGTGTTCATAGCAGCTTCATTTCTAATACCCGAATCTGTAAACAACCCAAATGTGCATCAGCAGATGAATGGATAAATAAATTGTGGCAAATACATACAATGGAATACTATTCAGTAATAAAAAGGAATCAGATGAATCTCAGAATAATTATGCTGAGCAAAAGAAACCAAACAAAATTGGGCCGGCCCGGTGGCGCACTGCTACAGTGCGCCACTTGGGAAGTGCGGCAGCGCTCCCGCCGAGGGTTCGGATCCCACATACAGACCGGCCGCTCACTGGTTGAGCGAGGTGCGGGAGCAACACCGAGGGTTGCGATCCCGTGGCGGGTCACGAAAAAAGACAAAAAGGAAAAAAAAAAAAAAGAAACCAAACAAAATAGAGGGAGGAGTTATGAAGTGGATGGGGAACTTTTGGGGGGTAATGGATATGTTTATTATCTTGATTGTTGTGATGGTTTTATGGGCACATAATATGTGTCAAAAGTCATCACATTGTCCATTTTAAATATGTGCAGTTTACTATATGTCAATTATATCACAATAAAGTATTTTCAAGTTTATGATATATAAATCTCAGTTTTTATAATATCCTGCTCTAACTAGCTTTTTGATTAGTCAATCAACTACAGGTACTGATTGCGTCAATTGTGAGGACTTCTACTCAACTTAACACTAAGACATTCAGCACTCACTGTCATCATGAGCACCTGACAGTGTCATCTGTGCTCTTCGAGGGATAATATCTGCTCTTTTCTATGCAGAGAATTCCAGTGAGTATTCTGGAGGTAATGAAATCTATACTGAATAAAACTAAACTAGCATTCTTTCACTTCATATCCATTTTCATAAGGCTAGAACTGTTTAATTATAAATTCACTTATATAATGACAATACTCTGGACCTTCCTTACTAGAGTTCTATTTGTAATTTGTTCTGAAACTTACCTACCAATTAATTACAAGCACAATGAATAACAACCATTACTACTAACCACTATAATAAACAGATGAAGCGCTCAAAAGTAGAAACCTTTTATTTAAAATCAGACTCAAATATACATTAAATAAGTACAATACGAAATATTAAACCTTCATAAAACAAACTATAACCACTTCAAATCATTTGCTATTCCTACAACAAAATTAAAGAAAAATCTAAAAACAATCCAAAATCAAATTATTTTCAAACTTTCATTGTCAACATTAAAATTATTATAAAATGCTCAAAGAAATTTAATCAGGAAATTAATAAAACCACTACAGAATGATTCCTGCTATCCACTAAAATAAATAAAGGAATTAAAATTTAGTATGATTTCTATTCATTCACAGATAAAAAGCACCTCATTTTAAAAAGACCATTATCTATTTCTCTCCCAGGCTGTGTGGACTATTTTGTTTACTTGACTTTTAATTTTAACATGGCACAATAGGCTTGATCAGTGAAGGCAGTATCATTAGAAATATTTTAGATTGTTCCTTACAGACTCTACTTCATGAATGAAGGTATCACATATTTAAAATTTAAAACATTACAATACAATAAATACCTTTTAATAAGATACGTGTCAACATAAAAATACACATTAAACAGTTAAGTTTTTTTTTTCCTTTATAAATGAGAAATTGATCAGACTCATTCTATATTTTCCCTTTTTACCGTGTCTTACTTTGCCAGGAAAAAAGGTTTTATGTTTTGTGTTATTAATGTTACAAATCCAATTCTAAAATATTGCATCAAAAAAAAAAAAATACCAAGGGAGACAATATAATATCTTAAGCCTGTATTTTCCTGAAAATATTTATAAAAAGTGGAACTAGATTTATTTTAAGTAGATAACAGGAAAATACACTATTATAATGTTTATGTATTTAAAATAATCCAAAACAAAATAAAAATACACTCAAGAATGGCACCCACATTATTCAAGGACAATGCTATTTACATGTATACAAACAATTGTGTGACTAAATAAATGAACATTTTCCTAAAACATGCATATTGTTAGGTCTTTTATAATTAAACTTATAAAACCAAGCTATTGCATATTATTGACTGTCATGATAAGAGCTTTCTGCACATCAGGAGAGTTAAAACTTTAACATCTATAAAACTGAAGATAAAAATACATAATCAAACTCAGCATTTCACTAAAAAAATCTTACATATCTTAGCAACTTGTCATATTACATGTTGTCAAACAAATGGACTCTAACATGCAGTTATTCCTTTCTAAAATTTTAATTTCTAGTATTGGTCTTTAAAAGCCATTTTAATCAAGTCACATTTCCTGGATAAAATTCACTCCGAGTTCTGAAAAACTTTTCATTTGCCACAAGCAATTCTGCCTTGAGTGGTAAAGCTATAGCTCTCTTAATCTTTTTTCCTTTTCAAAGAGAATGAAAAATATGCAGCGACTTTCTTACTGACTCATTAAATGTAAAATTTAATAGAGAGAATATAACAAAATGTTGGAATATAGTAACATGTAAGTTTTCATGGTTAAGTACTACTAACTAGCTATAACCTTAGACAAGTCATTTAACTTCTGTATGCCTTAGTTTCATCTTTAAAACAAAGACATTAGAAGAGATAATCTCTAAAGTTTCTTGCGACTCTCGTGTGGTATGATTCTGTGCTTCTTAAGGTATTTCTAACTGATAAGTTGAATTTTCCCTAAATCAAGAGAACTGATGTGAATTAAAACAGCATAACTGAACTAAACCTCTCCTGTTAGAAAAAATACAAAGACCATGTCCAAAGCTCAACTTCCCAAACCTTTCTAGACCTACTGACTCTTCAGCCAGACCAATAAATGGCCCACAGAGTTAAAACCAAATATCTCAGTTACATAAATTACTTTTAAATTACATTGTAAACCCATCGACATATATTAAGTCTATGCTACAGTTTTCCTACATTCTAATTTACATTATTTTCACTCTATCTACATTCAAGATAATCTGTACAGTTAAGGGAGGGGCCTGTTTAATATCCTTATATTTCTAAACACCAGTAAAAGTTAAGTAAAATACAAAGAGCAGAATATTAATAATTATCATATTCTGCCAAGTTTTTAATCAAAGCATGCTGAACGCTATTTATGGTATAAATACAAGGCAAAGGTAAAAAAGTAAATCCTGATGATCAAATAAATTTAGTTGTATTTTGCCATCACTTAAAAAAAGAGAAGAGGAAGAGGTCATTAGCAGAAACCTACTTAGGTAATACTGTACCATGATATTTCAGCAGCTCTTGTGAAAAATTAATACACTGTGAAGGAGTATTTTGGTACTAGTGCAGTGCAAATTGGGTTTTCCTTGTCTAACTATGGGCAGCAAATGAGGCACTTAACTGTAAAGTAGAAAAATAGGGTATATTTAAGAAGAAATTCAAAATTATTCATAAAAGATAACTAGCATTATTCAAAAAGTAAAAAATTCAATTTTTATTTACCATGCATTCAATGATACACATGCTTCACTAGGGAAAAACCCTTTTGAAAGTAAGACTCCTGTTTTGTTTAGAAGAGACAGAAAACATTTCCTTTTCAAGGGATTCTAGATTTCTGAGAATGAAATCCAAGTCTTCTGAACCTGAGTACTACATATTTATAAACTGAGAAAAATACATCTTATCATACTGGAGAAGTATTTCTAATTATCACCAAAGTGTACCTTGAGATCCTCAACTTTATTCTTGAAGGATCAGAAGTTTTTATTTTATATAACTTCAAAGATGGGACCTAATGACTGTAACAGAATAATGAATAGATATTTAGCACCTAAATTTAGAGAACACTTAAATATTGCCATAGTTTTAATAGTTGTATGTCCACAGGTTGGGAGAAATCAGATATGTGTTGTTCGATGATATTAGAATATTCTCAAAGACTAAAATACAAAGCTTCCAAAAATCATCCTTGGTTTTACAAATGCATCTACCTACAACATTCAAACACAGTCTTATTTCTTCCTGAAGTTACAGATATGTATTATTTTTAAGAAGTAAGGTTTATTTTTTTCTTAACCACAATTAAATTGTCTTCCAAATGTGGCACTTTTCAGAGGTTAGATAGAAAATAGTTCTTTTTTGGGGGGCCGGCCCGTGGCTCACTCAGGAGAGTGCGGTGCTGATAACACCAAGGCCCCGGGTTCGGATCCCATATAGGGATGGCCGGTTTGCTCATTGGCTGAGCGTGGTGCTGACAACACCAAGTCAAGGGTTAAGATCCCCTTACCGGTCATCTTTTAAAAAAAAAAAAAAAGAAAATAGTTTTTTAAAAAAGTCATTCATATTCTACCACTAGTATTACTTCAAATGTTCACTATGATGCAGAGGTCAAAAGTGAAGTGAATGGCCATGGACCTTCTGCTGAAATACATAAGTAAATATGAGCAGGAACAGAGAAGATGAACATACATTAATTTCTGGCAATATATTGGCACATAAATGCTTATCTGTAGGGTGAAAAAGCACTTAATAAAAACATAAATGTTTGCCGTGACATTATTCCAAGTGAACAGAGCTTAGCATCTCCTAACACAAATAGTCTTACATTGCCTCTCTAAGTAAGCTTGATTTTAATTCTGAATGAAACGCTTTATTTCATGTGTCAAAACTGATGTATGACATTAACTATAGTTTTCCACGAAACCAATTTAATCATCCCCATTGAGAAATCCTATAATCTTACCTTTTCTTCCTAAATTTGCTTACAAGAAGGCTTTCCTTGACTCAGAAGGAAGGGAAAAGGCTTATAAAAAACATATTCTTACTCCAAGGAGACTGTCTGGCAAATTTTAATAGTTCAGAATCCTCATATTTGTCATTTATATTCACTTTAATAAACTGCATTCCTTACTATATAACTAATTTCCTCAGATACAGAAAAACCAAAATTCTCTTATGTATATCTTTAAGCTATATTTTTCTATTTTCTTTAAGATATTCTAATTTATTTTTGAAAGGCAATGAGTACATAAAAGGAACAGGAAGACTGTTGATACAATTCAGTTGTTAAGAAATAACGTGCATATACCTCTCAATATAAATATTGTTCGGTATACTATGGCTAAGTAAAAAGCTAGCCAAATCAAAATAAAGACTCAGCTCTAGAATCTGGAAAATATGAAACAAGAATACAAATTCTATATAAGTAGAAACAAAACTGAGAGGGGGGAGCATTCTCCTTAAAAAAAAAAAAAAGGGCAACTGAAAATACGGTTAAGTGAAGTGGATTTCTGCTTCCCAAGAGACCATACATGCTACACAGTAACACCAACATGCAATATCTGAAATGTGGAATCACATTCTGGCTGCTGCCCTTGAACTTCTGCATTTAATTTATAATTTTCTGGTGTCTGGCTGATTTCATCTTGCAAAGTAGGAGATATGCCATGTGTCTCATCTACAGAAGCATTGTCAGACAAGGCACCTAACATTTCCAGGGAACAAGCTATGCGAAGCTTTCTATTTCCTGTCCCTTCATCGAAATTCGTCCTCTCATCAGCATCTTCTAGCTGTTGAACTGAAGTTAAATATTGTTCAAGCAAACTAGTATCCTGCTTATTGTTTGAGCTTTCCTTACTCAATTCACCACTTTCTTTGCTAACATCCCCTAAATCTGACTCTTGGCCATATTTGACCGTGTCAATGGAATTCCCCATTATGGAACTTTCACTGCCTTCTGCGGAATTTTTTTCAAAATCCAAAGAGTCCTGCAAACACTGAACTTGTTCTGTGAGGGAGGAATGAAAACCAGAGTCTGGAAATTCTGGAAAGGATTTCTCTTGAGGAGCTTCATCAGGAGCAATGAACCAATCAGAATTTTGATCAGAAGAGGGTTCCTGACTTTGGGGGAAAAATGGAGGTGGCACCAGAGTACTTGAGATAGGAGGAACATCAGTATGCCAGGAACTTAGACGCTGGTCCACGGTCTGTTGCCAAGCTTGTAGAGACCTTACCTAAAAACCAGAGGATATGGTTTTATTTTAAAATAAAAATCATACCTGTTTTACGATTGTCCTTTGACCTTTTTTCCAGCAGTCATGCAGTTAGTAAATGGTAGAACTGGAGTTAGAAACTGCCTGATTCCCTTCAACCTTTCCATAGCACCCCCAGCCTAAACCAGGCTGGCACAAGTGGTACATGGCCTCGGTAACAAAAGGCCCTCACCAGGAGAGTGAGGGTGAGCCAAAGCAATTCTCTTGTTTCTACTGGAAAAACAATCAGAAGCACAACAATACATGTCTAGCTGATTAAGGGGTTCAAAACATACTCAGTATACACTGAGGTTATTCACTAGACAGATTAGAGCCTATTAATATATCTCTAAAAGAAGTCTCATTTTAGATATCCATGCAGGGATAAGAGTTTTGAAGTGTTATCTAACAATACAGTATATGCGACTTTCTAAAATATCTAAAAATATCCGAAGTTCTTGCTAATGGGACCTTTATGTTTTTAAAGTATAATTAAAATTTCAAAATTTTACTGAAAAAACTGTAGGCAAGAAAGTACTATATAGAATTTTTAATTTCCCTTTGACCATCCTCCAAAGTAACCACTGATAGCAGTTTGATGTATATCCTTCCAGACCTTTTCTATATATTTTCACATACAAAGGGAGCCTTTAAAACCAAGTAGAACCCTAAGTTGTGCAAGTTCTGTATCTTGTTATTTTGGAGATCTTTCCAAGTCAGTCCATACAATTACATTATTTTTTTTAACTGCTCCACAGTATTCCACGTTATTATTATTATTATGTAATTTATTTAACCATTCTCCTACTGTTGGTAATTACAAAGCCTTAAAAAATCAATAATTATTTTTAAATTTTATAGGTCAAATCCTATTATAACAAATTCTTTTATAAAAATATTTCCAAGAAATTATCATCAAGTACTCGATGTGATTACAATACTAGTAAAACCAATTGCCTAAACTGTTCCTAAAGTATGCTGTTTCAAACCCTCTCTCCCAAGCACTCATGTATACTTTGTAGGATGTGTATTGTAGCCATCATATATCATCTTAGTCACCATTCATTCAAATATTCCCAAAAGATAAAAACAGATAGAAAGCTACACAAGACTTCAAATTGGTTTTTTTTTTTTTCCCCCATTTTTGTCTTTTTTACTGACCGGTAACGGGATAGCAACCCTCGGTGTTGCACCCGCACCGCGCTCAGCCAGTGAGCGGGAACCGGTCTCCACATGGGATCCGAACCCTCGGCGGGAGCGCCGCCACGCTCCCAAGCGGCGCACTCTCCAATGAAGCCACTTTCCTTCAACTTTATCTTTCACCAAAATTATAAAAACACTTTTCCTCAGATTAAATAAAATGGAACAAAATTCACTGTCCTAGCTCAGAGTTGGCAAAGAGCACAAAGCACATCCTTAACCTTGAAAAAGGGTGCTTAATACTCCTGACTATGATTACTACCCAATGAATCTAGAATTGTCTTTGCTCATATATTAGGTAAATCAGCAGGAGGGGGTTTACCTGGTTCCAAAGGAATCTGACAGCCTCTTCTTGTACAAATTTTTTAATACGTTCTTCATCTCTTTCTTTTCTTAATCTACAATAATTCGAAATACATTATTGACAAAAAGAAAGATGCTTTGACTTGCATTTCCTATTACAACTACTAAAAACATGCACTGTAAAGAGACTGATAATCTAATAGTAGTCCTTTACACATTTAGAATATCTAAGCTGAAACCTTAATTTTAAACTATGACTCAAAGTAGAAGCCAAATGAGATGTGACTGAAATTCCAGGTATTAGTTCTACAAAGTATTTTCAGTGATAAAACATAAAATAAAAAATAAATATTAAATGACACTTTACTTGGCTTCATTTTCCCAGACAAACACACCAAAGCAGCAGGAGGTGCAGAAAGGAGTAGTTATTCAAAGCCTCGAAAGCAGTTAAGGATCACACTTAAGTACTCAGGATCACAGCTTGAAACACCCTCTTCTAAGAGACTAGCAGAACTAATGCCAACAAACTTCACTTTCCTGTTTGCCCCAGTCCCTGTCATACTCCTCAACATCAACAGAGCTCCTCATCCATTGCTCCTCCTCATTCATTAAAGTCTTAGCTCTGGGCTCACTGCTGCTGAGTCCATACTCACATCTATTACAAACCAAAGGTTCCTCTAGTTATCATTCATCATCCAGACTGTCACCATTTTGTTATGAACTTCTGACCCAATTCTCCACTTTCTGTAGCCCCCCAAAAGGCCTTTCTCCTATGCTATCTGGGATTCCTGAATTGTAATCAGCAAACTCCCTAATATATTCAACTTCTCTCTGAACTTCTCCTTAACCAAAGCAGACCTACTTCTGAGAGCACTGTAGCTCCCTCAAGTGGAAGCTATTTTTTTCTCTCATACATCAGGGTCAGAAGATAGCTTCTCACTGCTGTTTTGTAGATTCTTTACCAAAACTCTTTGTCAAGTACTGACCTCCCATTATCTGCCCCCACTCACCGAAGTCTAAGCACCAGTCTTTTGCTCTGCCACATTCCCATCATCATTTTTGGAGACCTCAACATTCACATGGACGCTCTACCTAAAAATAATCCACCCCAAGTCGGTCAATCATTCTCATAGTCTCACCATACACCAAATCACTTTGACTATGCCACTTTCAAAAATAATTCCAAGCACCCAACATGACCACTACTTTCCTATCCTCCCAGTTCACTTGCTCGTGCACCCCACTGCAACAATCTAGACCTCTAATCTTCACCTAGACCTCCATCCAATGACTTTTCCTTCTTGCCTCCACTTCCTTTTTACCTCAAGATCATTCCAGGATCTATCATTATTACTACCTCCCAAATACCTTCAGTCCCTTGCCCTCTCTCTCTCAACCATATTCACTTGGGGGGGAAAGTACTGCTTGCTGAACCAAGTTAACCATACCTGAAACAGGGCAGAATAGCTGAGAGTTGCTGAGGAAAATCATACAACCTGACCTATTGTTTCGCACTTCAAGTTCCTCCTCACATTATCCAGCAATCCTCCTCCAATCTCCTCATAAGTTCACTTTTAAGATGACTACCCCACACCTAATACTTCTCTCCTTACACCTCTTTCACCCCCTCCTCATTTTCAAGTGTTGACCATGTCATATACATTATAGAAAAAAGAGAAGCATCAGAAGGACTATCCTATCCTCCCACCATCAAACTTACCATGTTCCTGCTCCTACTTCAGACACTTCCCCTACTTGTGCAATGGCTCCCTTGTTCCCTCACTTTCTCAAGAACTTCAATCCTGCACTTCTCCCTTCTTTCCTCTGCACCATCAGTTTTCTTCTCCTTATTGAATCATCCCCATCAACACATAAATACACTCTATATCTCCCATTTTTAAAAGAGAATCTGCCTAAACTCCAAATTCTCCTCCAGCAACCACCTACTCTCTTCTCCTCAAAGCAAAACTTCCCAAGAGTTGGCTACACTCATTTTTTAAACTCTTTACTTCCCATTCACTATTCAACGCATTCCAAACCTGCCTTCATCCCCCCATACCACTGAAGACACTCTTATAGGAAGGTCATTGTGCAGTAAATGGTTAACTCAGCGGGAATGAGATGTTCAAACATTATACATTCCAGAGAGAGGACTGGCCCTTGACTGGCTCCTGGGAGATAACCTCCACACTCTTGGAATATCCTGCCTGAAAAGAGTATCTTTGTACACCGGGGGTCTCACCCACACCAGATAGTTTATGCTAAAAATGTGATTTCTAGTGAACACCTGTTTTGTTCACTTAGGGCCCTGGATCATGGTATATCAGTTTGTTCTCCAGGGGTCCTGAGGTCTGAGTAGTTAAGGTCAGACCTCAGGACCCTAGAAATCCTGAACCCCCAGTAAAAACCTGGACAGCAAAACTCAAGTGAGCTTCCTTGGTTAGCAATACTTTGTATCTGTCATGAAACATCATTGTTGTGAGAATTAAGTCCTGTCTATACAACTCCACAGGAAGAGGACAACTGCAAACTTGCACCTGGTCTCTCCCAGACTCTGCCCTACCCGTCTTTCTTGTTTGTTGATTTTAATCTGTATCCTTTTGCTGTAGTAAGCCATAACCATGAACAGAACAATCTTCCAGAGTTCTATAAGTCATTTTAGTGAATCATCAAATCTGAGGATAGTCTCGGGGACCCCCAACACAGTCACCAATAACCTCCAGCTGATAAACCTAGTATATAGTTCTCTATTCTCTCCTATGGCACACCTCATTTCTCCTGAAACACTTTCCCCTGTTGGAGCTGAAACACATACTCTCCTAGTTTTCCTATCACTGACTATTCCTTCTCAGTCTCTTTTGCTGTCTCCTCCTCTTCCACCTAATAATAACAACAAATATTGCTAGTTGGAATACTAATAAAATCCTAATTTTTCTGAGTTAGCAGAGAGTATCTCCAGAATTTTAGACCCTTTTGAATCTCTGCTATTTTCTGTAATTGTTATGTCATCTACTGGGTTCTAAATAGACTTCCTCATCTTTTCATTTGTATACTTACTCAGTTTTTCTACATTTTACGTATCTTTCTATGTTTATGATTATAGAAGTCTATAAAGCTCACATTCATTCAACATTTATTGCTACACTGCATCTATATTACCAATTGCTGTGCTAGGGATGGAGATGCATATGATATCTCTGCCCTCAGGATGATTTCAGCATATTGTAGGAAACAGACAAGTAAATTAACAGTGGCTACGTGGTGTAAAAAGTGTCATGTCCACGAAAACACAGTGTTCCGAATCAACTCAAAGAATCTGATACCCCCAAACCAACAAAATAACACCTCAACAGGACTTTTGACCCACCTCCTTATTTCATCAGTTAAGCAGACAATGTGCTCCTGCATTCTGTGCAGCCGGATTTCATAACGCACCTCTTTGGCTTGAGGGTTATAGTTCCTGGCATAAAAGCCCCGCCAACACGCCTGAAGCTTGGTGGCTGCTTCATTCAATTTCTGAAGGGCAACTTTATCTTCTCCCAAAGCAACAGATCCCTGGGTTAAAATCCTGCAGGAAAGTTTCTCTGAAACTATTTGAGACATGGTTTCTTCACTATCTGGCTGTGTATGAGAGATAATATGCCCAGATGACTCAGGAAAAGATGTCAGACTATGGTCATCATTCTCCAAGATAGCACTGACTATTTTTGGCTCAGGATAAGATAATACCCCAGCTTTCTCATTTACCTCTTTACTGATCTCATTTTTCATCATTTGAACAGAATTCTCATTTTCAACCCATACAGTCTTTTCCTCTTCCTTATCCAAGTCCTGGTTTTCCAGCCCTTTCACATATTCATCTGCAACACCATCATCTTCTAGGCCCAAGCTAATACCTTGCAACCTCAGCTCAACTGTAGGTGATACTGGAGATAGTCCTGATGCAACTGGCATAAAAGTAGACTCTGAAGAGAGAAGACTACAGTTTAACTTGTCCTCATCTGTCTGTATGTCTTCCAGGTGCAGGTCATTTCGAGAATATCTTGTAGAATGTACAGAGGCTGGAAAGTTATTCTTAACAGCATATAACTGATCATCATTACTGCTTATCCCAACCCAAGAATTGACTTGGATGACGGGTTCTAGAAGAATCAACAGAGTATATCATTTAAAGCACTAAATGTTAAGAGTTTTTTTAGTTGTATACTTCTAACAATATCTAATCCCTGAAATATGGAAAAATGTAATAAAATGCCTTCAATGATTTCTTCCAATATGCCTAAAATATCAAACCAAGCATTTTTAAGAAAATGAATTTTTGCAATAATCATAAAAATAAAATACGTACGAAAGGTTGAAGTCTTTGTAATGCTTTTAAAAATTAGAAATATAATAGTTATAATGTGCACACATACATATATATATATATTGCATATATATACATAGGTAAATATAAGATCCAAATGATCACTAAAGTTAACAAACTAATAAGAAAATACATACTTTTTTTCTGCTTTATTATAGCTAACAAATCAAACAACTTAGAGAAAAGGGGATTGGAAATAAATTAATTTCTTACCACTTTCCTGGACTATCTGGCAGTCTTGAACAGGGCTTGAATGCTCAGGTACAAGGTGTGCCCTTGTTTCAGTAGGAACAACAGAAGTCAACTCTTCATTTTGGCTTTGGTTCATCAACTGCCTCTGGTGAAACCTAAAAATCAATAACATCTGATGTGATCTAACACAAACCAAAAAAAGAAAGCTTTCCTGCTTCCAAGGTAACAATGTCAAAAATGTAGAAGTTTATAATTTTCAAGGTAGGTACCTTTCATTGCTGCCAAATTATAAAGTCTCAGTTGAAAGCATTGGATAGAAAAGGTTAAGAAACATATTTAAATTGAATAGACAGGCACCCTCATATTCACACATATACACATCCACAAACATTTAAAGGCAGGATCTCTTTCAGCTATACTTCTTAATGTTAGTATTTAAAAACCCATATGAAACACCTACGTTAAAAGGACAAATACATTTTTTTAAAATCCCTTTCCAAGGGCTAGTCGGTTAACTCAGTTGGTTACAGCATGTGTTACGACACCAAAGTCAAGGGTTCAGATCCCCCTAGCAGCCAGCCACAAAAAAACAAAAAACAAACAAACAAAAAAACCCTACTCCATTTCCACATAACCTACTGCTTGGCTCTCCCCACTGAAAAATTGATTAGCCATATAATTGCTGAGGAGCAAGCTGGACTATACTGTGTAGTTCACCTTCCGAGCAGGACTGCTGGAGTTACAAGGGGCCTGAGTGCCCAGAAATGTGGACTGTGGCACTTCCCTCAGGCCTACTATTACCACAGGAAAGACTCAGGTATTTTCACTTGTGAATTCACTAACTGCTACAAATAAATGGGCTTACCTCTGTTTGCTCAGAATTTTCTCTAGTTTGGCATCCTCTGCAGTTTGAAGACCCAGTGCAGAAGTGAGAGGACAGACTGTCGCCAGATACTGGACAAGCTGGATGTGCTGGCCAGGCCGATATGCTCTTCCCTTGCCTTGACTATAGAGCCATTCAGCTTTCAAACTGGAATTGAGGGAAATGAGAAGAGGAGATAGCACCAGGGTAGGCAAGACACACTGTTAAGCAACAATTATCTTTCTTCTTAATTTATCTTTATAACACCACTGGATGTTTTTCGTAAATAAAATTCACTTAAGCGTTTTAATTATCCTTCTAACTCACTTCCCTCACTCTAATAATGTTTGAAACCTTTTATCTTGCTTAGGGGCACTTCCATAGAGTTACACTAATGGTTCCAAATATTTTAAAATTATTTCCAAAGAAGCCATGAGTATTCCCTCCATTCACTCTGTCAAACTGAAGTACTAAAGGACATCACTTGCATTTAAATCCATTAGCTCATGACAGTTTAAAAAAAGAAAAGCTAATTGGTCATAGTTGGAGGATGCTAGTGAGCCACCAACTCATTTTTTAAAACTGGTAAATTTCAGATCACTGTACCAGCCAGCTGCAAAAACAAACAAACTGATAAATAAAGGGAGAAAATTAAGTATTATTAATTCTACCTTTTCTATACAAACTACACCAACAGGTAACTAAATAGTTACTTTATAGAAGTATTCCAGCTAATTAAAAAATGAATGATAGGGCCGGCCCGTGGCTCACTTGGGAGAGTGTGGTGCTGATAACACCAAGGCCATGGGTTCGGATCCCTATATAGAGATGGCTGCTTAGCTCACTTGGGAGAGCGTAGTGCTGACAACACCAAGTCAAGGGTTAAGATCCCCTTACCAGTCATCTTAAAAAAAAAAAAAAAAAATGAATGATAGAATTTCATCATTTTGTAACCCTTAATGAATTAATGGGTTTAGGAATTAATCATTGATAGCTGCTAATAATATGAGACAACCAGACACTGTGTGACTCCTGATAGAACCCAAAAAGTAGTTGTCCCCTCAAAAAAAATCAAACCTGAATCTGATCAAACCTCCACATCTAACTACCAATACAGAGAAAGGAACATGTCAAAGGACACAGGGATGTAATCAGCAAAATGAGCAGACAGTGGAAAATTCCGTAATACAAATAATTTGATTTCTTTACCAACAACCAAATAAAAAAGAAAGCAAAGAAAATAACATAAAAGAGAGGAGGAACTAATAGATTGAGAGATTTATGAGAGTCATCTTGGACATCCAGCCAAGTCAAGCTTTCAGATTACTCTAGCCCCATGTGTGATCTGACTGCAAGCACATGAGACCCCAAGTAACGGCTGCCTGGTCAGCACAGCCAACATATGGAGCATGCAACAAAAAATAAGTTGATATTGTAAGACACTAAAAAAAGAAAGTGAGGAAGAAATTTAAGAGATAGATCAACCAATCACAATATATGGTTTTATTTGAATCCTGTTTCCAAAAAAAAGCACTTTAAAAATGAATTTATAAGTACTATTGGAAATGTAAAGAGCACTGACTAAATATATGATGTTATTAAGGTATTATTGTTAATTTTTTTGAGATATGATAATGGAATTGTGGTTATTTCTTTAAAAGTCCTTCTTTTTTAGAGATATATACTGAAATGGTTACAAATGAAAATTATATTTAATCTGAGATTTGCTTCAAAATAATATTGAAGCAGAGTGAGTGAAGATATAAATAAAACAAGGTTGGCCTTGAGTCAAAAACTGTTGAAATTGGGTAATGGATTCATGGGAGGTCGTAATATGATTGTTTACTTATAAACATATTTTTTAATTGGCATACCATCGTCTCAATTTTACCATTCTTTTTTTTTTTTTTTTTTTTTTTTTTTTTTGTGACCGGTAAGGGGATCGCAACCCTTGGTGTGGTGTCGCCCACACCGCGCTCAGCCAGTGAGCGCACCGCCATTCCTATATAGGATCCGAACCCGCGGCAGGAGCACTGCTGCGCTCCCAGCGCTGCACTCTCCCGAGTGCGCCACGGGGCTGGCCCTCAATTTTACCATTCTTAAATATGCCCCTCAACATGATGCTGAGGTTGGATCATTTTGGTATACTTTATCTGTTTTTATATCATTAACTCAGCATTGCAAATGGTTTGAAAATCACAACCAATCCACAATCATTTTCTTGGGCCCTCACATTAAGGTATCTACATCATACAAACTGTAAAGTCCAAAGCTGTCAAGTCACCCAAGGTTCTATTATGGACTGAAAAGAAACTAGTCTTTTTTTTAAAAGATGACCGGTAAGTGGATATTAGCCCTTGACTTGGTGTTGTCAGCACCACACTCTCCCAAGTGAGTTAACCGGCCACCCCTATATAGGGATCCAAACCCACAGCCTTGGTGTTATCAGCACCACACTCTCCCAAGTGAGCCATGGGTTGGCCCTAGAAACTAGTCCTTAAATCATGCGAAAGAGTCATAGAGCAATAAAATATAATGAGCTTAGTTTTCTGTGATTTGCCAGTGTCACAAGGAAAGAAAAGATGTTGTTTTTTTTTTTTTTTGCACTGGCCAGAGTGGGGAACCGAACCCTTGACCTTGGTGTACAAGGCCACACTGTAACCAACTGAGCTAACTGGCCAGCCAGGAAAAACTGTTCTAATGATAAGAGATGTGGTGTGCCAAGCTGATTGACAAAAGTTATGTATTCCCAGGCTGGCTGGTTAGCTCAGTTAGTCAGAGTACAGCCTTATAACACCAAGGTCATGGGTTTGGATCACTGTACTGGCCAGTCGCCAAAAAAAGAAAAAAAAAAAAAAAGAAGAAGAAGTTATGTATTCCCAATCTTAGCCTAACAGTTAAAAATTTTAGTCTATTTAATAAAAATTATAGGAAGCATTCCTTCCATGGAAACATTCCTGTGGACTAAGTAAGAATCAGTCAAAAGCTTCATGAAGTTGGCCATAAGTTTGTATAAATTCTCCTGTAAAGCAAATGGCTTGTTAAAAAGCTTTCCAAAAAAAGGCCCAGAGTAGAGAAGAATCACCAACTTTAATATTAGCTAGCAAGCAACATTTCCAGGTTATAAATGGTTTGTAGTTTGGGAGGAAGGATAAGCAAAAGGAAAAGAGGATAGAGAAAAAGGGCTCAGGCTTGAATATTCCACAGTATAAGTTCTTGTAAGAAAAACCAAAAACTGCAGAGCATCAAATACTATAATATTTGTTTTTTCACCTTGCTTCACATGAATTCATCAATAAACATATCACTACACAAGTTTTATTAAATCCGTAGAATATTCTCCTAAGTAAAATAATCTCCCTGCCAATTAAAATACCATTGCTAATTGAATGAAAACAAAATTAAAATTCACTCATTTCTAATGTTTTAAGGTCAAATCATTGGATTATGTTTCGTCTCTTGAAATTGAAGAAATAGTTTATTTAAAATAACAGAAGTAACAACTATTAATAAAGAGAATTTAAAACAATCAGCACTTTCTCCTAAAAAAAGGAGTACTGAATAAAATGATACCTGATATTGCTTTTAAAATACTCCAACAAAAAAAGTGGGAGACAGATGAAACAAGATTGACAAATGTTGTTAACCGTTGAAGCTGCATTGTGGGTACATAGATACATGCTCTTTCTACCTTTCTATATATGTGAAATGTCCTTTAAAAAAGGGAAGGGGCCGGCCCCGTGGCGCACTGGATAAGTGCGCCGCTTGGGAAGCGCGGCGGCACTCCCGCCCGAGGGTTCGGATCCCACATACAGACCAGTTCCCGCTCACTGGCTGAGCGAGGCGCAGGAGCAACACTGAGGGTTGCAATCCCGTTGCCGGTCCCCGGTCCGGTACGGGGGCAACACTGAGGGTT